TGCCTCACATTGGGAAATGCTAGCATAGATCTTCTTAAGAGGATATTTATTCTTTCTTTCATGCCTTGGTGCACAATAAAATAGTTCACTGGCATATGAGTCAGCTACCACTAAAATGAATGAGACCTAGCAGATGTGTCTGCTTCGGTTACATTTGCTCCACATTTTGTTTTGGTTCTGTTTGTTTGGCAACAATAGCAGTTAAAAGTTTTAATTTTTAATGAAAGCTGACACATTGAGCCATGGAGGAGGATATTACACAGCCCTCAGCTAGTCCCATCACTCACGAGCAGAGAAGTGTGCCCCACTCTCTAAGAAACACTGATGTATACAATGACACTGAGAAACATACCTACACTGATGTAATTCTGTGACAGTCTTGCTCAATGAAGAGTTACTAAAACAACAGGCTGGAAATAGTCCAATGACCTTATGCACAGAATTCTAGCAGGGCAGAGCATTTTCACATGCTGAACTGAAACTGCAGGAAATTGTCTCACAATCAGAAATGTAGGACTGGAAAGAACCTTGAGAGGTCAAGTCCAGCCCCCCATGTTGAGGCAGGAGCAAATAAACTTAGACCATCCCTGACAGGTTTTTGTCCAACCTGTTCTTAATCAACTGTGGGAATTTCACAACATCTATTCCAGTGCTAATTGTCCTTAACATTAGAAACATTTTCCTAATATTTAACTTTCTCTTGCTGCAGATTAAGGCCATTACTTTTTGTCCTACCTTCAACAGATATGGAGACTAATTGACCACTTTCCTCTTTATAACAGCTCTTGGCACATTTGAAGATTGTTATAGGTCCCCTTTAGTTATCTTTTCTCAAGATGAATCCTGCTCAGCTTAACTTTGCCTCACAGACCAGGCTTTCTAAAACTTGTATCGGTTTCTTTTCTGCAGTTTCTCTAATTTTCCACATATTTCCAAAAGAATTGGAACCAGTATCTCCAGGTGAAGCTGCTCCAGTGCCAAGAAGAGATGGACAATTGCTTCCCATAACACACAATATATCCCAGCATCATATTAGGCTTCTTTGCTTCTGCATCACACTGTTGACTCTCAAGCTGTGCTCTACTATATTCCCAAGATCCTTGTCAGCAGTACTACTAGCGAGCGTGTTGTGTGTTGAATTTTTCTTTCCTAAATGTTGTGCTCATCTACATTAAATTTCCTCTTGTTGACTTCAGACCAATTCTCTAAGTCTATTTCTGCTTTCCAAAGTGCTAGCAACCACGTCTTCACTCAGATTTTAGAAGCATACTTTCCAAGTCATTAATGAAAATATTTATTAGTACTGGATCCAAGACTGACCCTTGCGGGACCCCACTATATAGATTCATAGACTTTGTCAAAGGGATCATCATGCTCATCTAGTCCAGAGGCAGCAGTGGGGAACCTATGGCCTGGGGACTGGATCCAGACCCTGGCTTGCCTAGATCCAGACCCTGAGGCTCAGGGCTCACCCCAGTGTTGGGAAACCTATGCTGGTATGGGGGTGGGGGGTTTTTCTGTGGGTCAGTGGCTCCAACTCAAAAAAGGTTGCAACTCAGAGTCCTTCCCATCTATCGTCCCATTACCAGTCTTTGAGCTATTTGCTGCTACCAGTGGCAGGTTTCCTACCAAGGCACATAGCTAATCTTATCAGACCAGCCTTTCCATAAACTTAAGCTCCATCTGAAGGGTGTTTAGCCCTCTGATGGCTGGAAACCTTCATCTAATTTCAGACCTGTTCTGTTCAATCCCCCTGGGGCACCTGGCTTTGGACACTGTCAGAAGACAGGAATTGGGCTAGATGGACCTTTGGTCTGACCCAAATGGCAATTACATTCTTACGCTAAACTTGATATACAATTTATAACTGTTTGTTCTTGTGTCCACAATGGTGCTTAACTTTAACTCTTCCCCCTACCTGGTACTGATTCTCTGATGTATGTATAGACAGCAATTATATTTCCCCCTCAATCTTCTTTTAGTTAAGCTAAACCAGCCAAGCTCTTAGAATCTCCTCTCGTAACATATATACCGCTTTCCAGTTTAACCACAAGTAACTATTCTGGAGAATGGTTTTTCAAGCAGATATGCACCCACCTTATATTAAGTTCATATAGACACATTCCAGAATTCAGTTAGAATGGGACTGTATCAAAAGACTTAATAAAATCCAAGATTTATCACTTCACTCTATTAAAGGCAATTAGGTTGATTGGAATGATTTGTTCTTGACAAATCATCTAAGCTGGGTATTCTTTATAACCCTTTTATCCTCAGAATTTGTTTCAGTATCTTTCAAGATATACATATTAAGATGGCCTATAAGGCTGTCTTTGTCCTTCTATATGCTATGTTAGCCATTCACCAGTCTTCTGAGACTTTACAGGCATATCTACACAGTAGGTCTAAAGCCAAAATAAGCTATACAACTTGAGCTATGTCAATTGTGTAGCTTAAGTCAAAATAGCTTATTTCAGCTTTTGGCGCTCCTTCCTTCAACTTCCCTTACTCCTAGGCTGTGTATAGACTGGCCAATTTTTCCAGAAAATCAGCTGCTTTCCCGGAAAAACTTGCCAGCTGTCTACATGGGCTGCTTGAATTTCCGCAAAAGCACTGACTTCCTACTAAGAAATCAGTGCTTCTTGCGGAAATACTATTCTGCTCCCGTTCAGGCAAAAGTCCCTTTTGCGCAAAGCTTTTGCACAAATGGGCCAGTGTAGACAGCTCAGATTTGTTTTCCGCAAAAAACCCCGATCACAAAAATGGCCATTGGGGCTTTTTTGCGGAAAAGCATGTCTAGATTGGCACGGACGCTTTTCCACAAAAAGTGCTTTGTGGAAAAGCGTCCATGCCAATCTAGACGCTCTGTTCTGAAAATGCTTTTAACGGAAAACTTTTCCATTAAAAGCATTTCCGGAAAATCATGCCAATCTAGACACAGCCCTAGTGAAATGAGGGTTACAGGAGTCAGAGTAAGAAGTTCTCCAGCTCCACATTATTTCTACATTATGTTGAAATAACTGCTTGTAGACACGGACTGTTCTTTTGGAATAACATTAGTTATTCTGAAATAACACTACTGGGTATATAGATCCTACCTGTCCTCCATAGTTCTCAAATATAGTTGCATTGGTTCCAAGACTACCTAGGATGAAATTCATCAGGTTTTGCATACCGGAATACATCTAAATATTATTTCATCTGTT